TTACTAAATTTGGTCTGATTGGATACTAATTTCTTAGGGAAAAACTATTGTAAGTACCCTTTGCATTTTTTTGTTTCAGGAGTTAATAGCGTACAGTCCTTTGCTGCTTTTTATTTTTCATAGCATGTGGTCTGTCTTGTGGAGTTCTAATCCAAAATATTCGGAACATGATGATTGAAAGTCAGGCTCCAGAAATAGCAAGACTTTTGAACGTGAAAAAAAGTAGCTGTGCATGAAGGTTGAAAGTATGTTAAGACTGAAGAAGGCATGCTGCAAAGCTTGAATTGAATGTCACTCCTATCATATAAAATGTAAAATGAAGCTGCACATATCTTGCAGTTCGTTGTCCTTCCCCTTCTATGTTTCAGAGAGTTTCTTATTAAATAGAAAGGTAAGCAGAGTATTTTCAACAGGTGCAACTTTCATATTTCACTTTTGGTACAATATTATAATTAGAATTAATCCCCAAGCCATCCCAATTTCCTGACAAACTTAAAATAAAAATATAGAGGATAATTCAAGAGAGATTTCCAAGTTTACAAGATGATGAGTTGTGTGTGTATATAAGTACATATATGTATGTGTGTGTACGTAAAAATATATATACAAATTCACCTGATTCTTTAATGACAAAACATTCACGCTAGTGATACCAGAAAGTATCATGATGCTGTTTCTGCATCAGGCTGCAGTTAAATGAATGTGAGTAATGAACTAAGCAGCACTGGCATGGTCAGGAGTATTAGTTGGGTGGAAGTGAACACCCTCGCCAGTGGGTGAGGCAGGAGGTGACGGGCTCTCTGTACTTGTGTGGTTTTACAACTTCTTTCTTTAAAATCCGGAAGATTCAGCAGTTTTGCTGTGGCATTAATCATGTTGCTGTAGCTAAAGTTCCGTATCATTATGTCTCCTTGAAGAAAGATGCCCTCTTTTTCCATCTTTTTCTTCAATTGTAAGTTTAAATGATTTGTAAAAGGATGTAACGCTAACAGCTGGAGCACAGCTCATACTCAGGAAAGGAGATGCATCCCAGGGCACTGCAGGTTTTGCTAGGCATTTTTTACTATTGGCTATTCTACTTAATATACCCCCGTTGACTGGATAATTTTTTGTTTCTTAACCAAAAGAGCAGTAACTCAACTTTTAGGGGTTACGTTTCTATAGTGATATACTATAATCACAGATTTAAACTTTTATTTATTTATGTATCTATTTTTATTTAGCTCTTCTGCTTCATAGTTGACAAAAGTAGCTTGTCACTTCTACTTTTAGGAGGGTAGGAACTGCATAGCTTGCATAGCCCCCAAAACGTATTGGTAGACTTTCATGGATGGAAGTGTGCTTTGAATTGTATTAAATACAACTTCCAAGCTGTCCCTATTAGAGGTAAAAGTTCTGGAAGTTTAGCCTCAATTTCTTGAGGAAGAACTTGAAGCGAAATCAAATTCCTGTTAGTAAAACAGCAGTTAATTAAATGTTCTAAAGTTAAAACATAAAAATTACATAAAACGTAGATCTTATATCACTTGAATTGTACATCTGAAATGTAAGTGTACAATATAAAAATGAAGAATCTTGTGAAAAATTTATTTTTTCCCCTCCCCTCTATATGGTAGTGTTGTAGTACTGAATTTGAAATGTATTTTCACAGTGAGTTGTGTTGAGAAGCCTTTTATAAGAGGGGGAAACAATAGAATAATTAAGCAAATGAAGATATTGGTAGGGGATATGGAAACAGGATGGAAAAACTAACAGGCTGATTTTCCAAAGTGTTTGGGGGGAAAAAAAAGCAAGCCAGAAGCCAGAAATATAAAAGTTCCCTATAATTTGCCTGAAAGAATACTTACAGAATCTCAATAAGCTTAAATGGTACAATTGAAGTGACCTTGTAATTAAAAATTGATAGCTAAATCATACACAGACTTCTGTATGATTTACAGGAGTACAATGGCTTTCATGAAACATATTTCATTATATTCCTGCTTATGCCGTGAATAAAACATTCATCTTACTGGAACTGCCAGAGAAATTTGAGACCGTCAGGATTGCTCCTTCCTTTTTTATAGTTTTGTTTTGGTGGGGGTTATTTGAAATCTTGTGCTCTTGGTGTTGGCTCTCCTGTTCTCTACTTTTACCTTTAGTCTCTCTTTCCATCCATCTCTTTCTCAGTGTGCTTGAGGTTTGGGGTTTGGTAGGGGGGTTTTTGTGTTGGGTTTTTTTTGTTGGTTTTTTTGGGGGGTTGCCCTCCCCCTCCTTATTTTTAGGTACGGTCATCTGTAGGCAGTCCATTTCCGCGGCAGCAGCTGTCAGAACTAAACCTTTGCTTTAGATAGGTTTTCCTGTGTCTAAATTAAAAATGCCAACATCTCTTTCACAGTTCGCTTTGTACTAAACACTTAGCAAGGTGCAGTAGAGCTAAAATGGTTTTCTCCAGAGCTTTAGTCCTTCCTCTTCCTTGGTCACTTTGGATAATACTGATTTATACATTCATTGATGGCTCTAATTGATTATGTCTTATGTTTGACTTTTGACATCTCTGTAGGACCATGTACTTAGGCTACAGCATGCCAGTTTTTTCTAGAGTGGCTGGTATTTACTCCTTCCTCCTCATACATAGAGCTAAAGATCTTCTGAAGACATTTATCTTGCAAGTTAACAAAATCAATTTATTTTTTTTCTCTGCCTTTGGCAGATGCAAATTTGTCCCACTCTTATCTACTGAGAGCACTGCCATGAATCCATTGTTCTTGTTTATTGCTCTATTCCATACCCATATGACTTCTTCATGAAGAAAAATACAGTATGAAAATCATTCTCAAAATGGTATGTTTCTATTGGCCTGTTTATATTTATTTCTAAGATGGTGAGAGTGTAAAAGTCTGCGACTGGAGTCAAGAATTAGGAGGATCTAGTAGCCTACTATAACCTTGAGCAGCTGACTGACTTCCTATGATGATAAAACCTGATGGGAAGCTAAGTAGGATCTGTTTGAAAAACAGACGAATGAAGCTGAGCTGATGGATTTCTGTAAGCTTTGGCACTGAATCGAAAGGCGTTGTGTAGTTACATACCCTCTTTATAAAATAAAATGAAAAAATATCTCTAAGCAGAATTTTTTAAAAAATGGCCATTGATAATTAGATGTAAATGTGCTAAGATTTGTAAACACAAGAAACAGGATTTATTTAAACAGTGGTTTTAATTGTTATACATATGGTTTCAGTTAGCAGCATGCACCTTCGTTCATCTAATTGCAGCTGAGCCAGGCACAAAGTGAAATTCAGTGAAGTGACATATGCATCATCTGTGTGTCAGCTGGTACAGTATGTTCTCTTTGATATTTACTTGGTGCACTACTCTCACATTTCAAAATTCAGTCAACAGTAAACACTAACATTGCTGCCACAGTCAGCATGTCAAGTGGTAGAAGCTCTGTGTTTATGTACCCTTTGGTCAGGAACATGAGGCTGTGCAAGTAGGTTTCTGACTTGGAGGTTACTGCCATGTTTGTCATATGGGAGAATTAAAACTAACTCCTTATAATGCCAATCTGGTTTAGGACTAAGGATGACAATATCGTGTCTAATAAAATATACTTGAAAGAGAAAAGCAGGTTCCATATTTTCCTTTGAAGCGTTTCAGATCTAGGTAATGCAATAATGTCATATTTTTGCATAAAGTCATACCTGTTAATATTTTTAAAGCTGAATTGAACGTGTTTGGCTTGCAAAACCACAGTGTGCAATTTTGCCTTTTGAATAAGCATTTTTGCTATAAATTCTTGTCTTTAGTTTTTTATTCTGAAATGTAATCAATAGGCTATATAAATTGGTACTTTAGCTTGAAAGGGGGAGGTGTCTTGTGACAAATACCTTTAGATGTTTAAAAGCAGGATTAAACTTGGCTCAGCTTCTGGAGGTCTTTCAGACTAAAATAGGCTTTGTTTACTTACTGCATATATAAAAACATATTTAATGCTTCAGTAATAGTTAAAAAAATCTCCTGGGTTTTATAAGTGAAGATGAACTTTAACATTTCTGGACCTTTTACTTTTAATTCATGTGTGATTAGATCTATCCAGAAAGGCTTAATTAACTTCCGCATACATAAAGTATACTCTCTGAACTCGGGTTTGCTGCTGGTATGTATTGTGAAGTCTTGCATACATATCTTAGCTGGCTGCTTTTTATTAATTTATGTTTCTTAACCATAAACCATTAAAAAGTTTACCTTCAGTTATTTTCCTTCTGCAGTTAATGTTTGTCTGAGTGCTGTTATGGTGCAGGATATTGTTCTAAATCATTACTCCAACTAACTGGAGTAAGGCAACCGTTAAAATACTTGTGTAGAAATACTATTCCTAAGCTACTCTGAATTTTACACTTTGAACGGTTGCTTTTAACAGTTGTTGGAAATAGAAATAATTGAACTTGGTGTTGCATTTAAAGTAGTACTAATGTTGTATTTAAAGCAGTACTTACACAAGTGAAGAGTTTGCCTCAATGCTTAATAAAGATGCTAATGTCTTTTTCTTTTAGATAAAATTATACTGAACTATTCCTAAGCTACTCTGAATTTTACACTTTGAACGGTTGCTTTTAACAGTTGTTGGAAATAGAAATAATTGAACTTGGTGTTGCATTTAAAGTAGTACTAATGTTGTATTTAAAGCAGTACTTACACAAGTGAAGAGTTTGCCTCAATGCTTAATAAAGATGCTAATGTCTTTTTCTTTTAGATAAAATTATACTGAAATGTAAACCAACTCCGTTTAGAGGGGCTGTTGTAAGGAAAGGGCTTCATAATGTGGATGGAGTGTTGTTAAAGCTAGCAGATACCTGTGAGGGATTCATCCTGCTTCTGTCATTGCAGTATTTAGACATGGTTTTGAGAGGCTTCTAGAATGATGGTTGGATCTTTCTGCTCCAAAAGATCAAGATGAAATAATGTGGTTGATATAATTTGAAACAGTTACTTCATATTAAAGAATTGATCTGTGGTGATTGGACCTTTTGTCAGTACTTACTGCTGTTTTGATATGTGCTTTTTGCACTGTTTTGACTGTGAGGATCGACATAGATTGCTTACCTCCAGAGAATACAAATGTGGCAGGTATTTATATAATTGCCATGTTGAGGGCATAATTTTTTTTTATTCACCGTGTTAACAGAAGGAGTACTGAAGTATCCATAGCACTGCAGAAAAAACTGTTTTGACAGAATAAACCCTCTAATCTCAATGTTCTGAGTGATGAATGCCTTATGTATAGGGTTTTTTTGTTTTATCCTAATGCTTATTTCCAATTATATTTTCCCTCAATTGTTAGAACTTCCAGTACAGTACATAGAGATTTTTTTTTTGCTTCAGATTCTGCTGTTAGATCTGGCTGAAAGGCATTATCCTGCGATTTCCATTGCAGTTGAGGGTGGTACAGATACTGAGTTTTAGGTAGTTCTGTTAGGGTTTTTTTGCCTAGCATTCACAGTTAATTAAAAGTAATCAGTAAAACCGAAAAAGAACATCTCAGTTAACTGAATATCATCTCCATCCTGATTTCTAATATTCCACTTTAGTCTTTGATCCTCTTCCTTCCCTCTTTGTGTCTTTGCTGAAGTGTTTTCCTTCTCAGTTCCTTAGTGTCATTAAAACGCACACACACCTTTCCGGGAAACGCCAAGAGGATCAACAGAGTAAGTGGAGTAAAACTAATACAAACTGATTTCAATAATAGTTTAAAACTCATGCTGTTATTTCTGTTAGGAAAGTCTGTCACATATGAGATGTACCACCTACGTGATATTTTGAGTTCTGCAGCCCGTATTTTTAAAGGTGAAAAGTTATTTTGGGAGAAGAGGAGAAAATGCACAATTAAACAATTATATGTTTATAGGCACTCTGAAAATGAATCCTGCTTTAAAAGAAATGGGGTCTTTGGAATGAAATTACCTAAAAAGTAGATGTTTGCCAATTGCATGAAATAAAAATTTTCAGAATTTTCAGCTTATTTACTAAAAAAACCTGTTATAAGGTTTCTTAAATTTTCTGATGTTGGAGGGGGAGATTTTTAGTAAAAGAGTCCGGAGAAGTACTGCAAGACCCAGGCTTGCTCATGCAGCATAAGTATGATTTGAAGATCATCCCTGTCAGAGGGCATTGGAGAATCTGGGCCTTACTTAAGATACAATATTTGTTCAAATTCCTTTGGTAAAATATCTTCTTTAGCTTATGAAAAATAATGACTTACTGTAAGCAGTGCATTCATGTTGTAATGAAGTTTTTTATATATATATGCGCACCTGGTATATGCTAATCTTTTTTTATTCTTTATGCATATGATACTGCTGTATCGGACTTCTTTTCTTTTTAAGAATGGCAGATTTTAAGATGAGTTCTGATAACGGAGCGGTTAAGTGGTGCTTAGAACATGTAGGTAGTTTACGAGAAGTGGGGACATAATTCTGTCTCTCGCCTGTTTTTTAACTTCATATATAATAGTCATCATTGTAGTATGTGGTCACCCTGTATGGCATAAGGAACAAAAAAGCACAAACCAAGGGTGATCTTTGTGTCTCCAGTAAATTTTTGAGATCTGTCAGGCTTGAACCTTGGTCTGTCTTCACCCCTGATTTCACTAAGGACAGGGAGAATGAATTGCAGAGAATGGCTGTGTAGATCGTCTCCAATTTGCCGCAGTTATTTTGTATGCAACAGATGGAAGAGGAATGTAGAAGCTCTATTCTGATTTTAAAATAAATATAAAACAAAAAAAGTTAATATTTAAAAATTTAAATAGGATGAGTTTTCTTCACTGTTTCTGAACTCATTTCTATTCTAGTTATATAGAGGTAAAGATACTGCTATTCATACGTTGAAAGCATATGCATTTGTTTTGTTTTTTCAATGTACGTCTTCAAAAGGAGTCTCTGAAGGATGTGAGGTAGGCTTTGTTTGCCACCTTGTAGAAATTCTTTTAGGCATGCAGATAAGAAAATTAGTTTGCAGCTAACGGTATTTGAGTAATACAAATTATTCTATGAATGCAGTGTAGTAGTAATGATGATAGACCCATAAGATCACTTGAGGTCTTTACAGAAACAGTCCTAGAGGATTTAAAATAAGATTTTAAAAGGAAATAAACACGAACTTCTAAACTTTTGTTATAAAAATTGATTGTTTTTAATATACATATGTATATTGAAAAAATACACATATTGTGACAGCTTTCATATTACTACATGTAATTACTGATTTTTTTGCCCTTCAAAGTCAAAACAAGCATATAGGTCAGATTTGTAGGTCAGCCAATGTAATTTATTCAGAAGCTATTTTCGAATTTGCTAAACTAAACCAGAAAACCACAGAATAATTTCTAGTGTCATTAAATTAGTCACAAACTGACTTACAGAAGAAATTAAAGCTGGTGCTCAGAAGTAGTCTTGCATCTGTGATTACATGAAGCAAGCATGCTGGGTCTCTAATGTCATGTTTTCTCAAGCTGCTTGTAGGTTAATTATCTTTGTCATCTTGGCAAAGGATGCAGCGATCCTGCAATGCATAGTCATTTTCATTTTCCCCTCCCCCTTCTGAACTTTAAAAAAAGGTTTTGTCCTTCCTGTAGAAGCTAAACCTGGTATTATATAAGTAATTATTGTAATTGTAACATCTGCATTGACCTTACAGAAAGTATAATCAATATTAACACAGGTGTTGAGGAAGGAGCGTGTTGAGGAAGCTAAATTTTTGCCTGATGGCCTACCCTACAAAGGTGAGGACCGGAAATAGATACATTTCAGGATTCATGTAGAAAATGGAGGAGGACACTTGTTCAAATAAAGACATATTCTGTTCTTCCTTATATGCGTTTCTTTTCGCTAATTGCTGAATTATTATTGCTTTGTGCTAAGAAGTCCATTTGGGCAGTCTCATAATAATTTAATTTACCACTTAATAAAGGAGTAAGTTTGCGATGTGTATCAGCAGTAGCCTTTGTTTTACCCAAGACTTTCTAAGTCAATAATATCACTGCACTTGTCAGGACAAGAGATAAATTTTTACTGTGCTTGACTTCATCGATCTTGGGATGAAGGCAATGACTGTGTCAGTTTGTGGTTCTTGCACAGGACCTGTGGGAACCAAGTTGCTTTCTTTCATCCTTGTGAAAGAAGGGCCTTGGCTGAGTGCTCTTAGCAGCCTTCTAGCACAGAAGGGTGCAGGGCAGGACTAGCAGTCAGTACTCACCCTGGAAAAGTGTAGGCTGGAATAGGAATGTGGGACAGGTGGTAAGGAGAATGACATTCCTTCAGGGAGGGAAGGGAGGAAAAGCTGAGGTGATGGCAGAGGCACAGGAACTTTTGATAGAGAGTGGGATGGGAAAGTGGAAGCAGTGTGCTGGGCATGAATGCTAGTGCTGGGTAGTCTAAGACGCTGATCCTAAAAGCAGAGCATAGCACTTTGGTAAAATGCCCCAGTGAAACATCTGATAGTTTATTTCACGAGATACTTTGCTAAAAGGAAAACTGAGATGTATGTCTTTACAATATAACACAAGCCCAAAGGCTTTTTTCTTTTTGATGATGGTTTTACCAGTTGATGCCCATCTGTAATGGGCACAGTGGTCATGGCCTTAGTACGGAGAAAAATAAAGATAGTTGTGTTTCAGAACTGGGCTGTAAAATCTTGCAAATGTGGTCTGGCTTAGATCAGTATTTTAAATTCAGTAACAGTATTTCAGGTTCGGAAGCCTTTTGGCAGGGTTTTGCCCAGAGCTTTTGTTAAATATTTTGTTGATTTCATTCTTGCAATGTTTCTTTGTTAAGAAGTAGAATATGCTTTTAAAGCTATAAATGTATAAACCTGTGTGTTTTGCAGGTAAATTTTTATTGGCCTGTAAAACTTCATGATCTTTCTGCCTTTCTTTATGGATTTTTTTTTTTTTGTTTGTAATGTTCTGGTTTTTGCCTCTGCATGGCAGGGGGGGCAGGCAAGGGTGAGATGGGAGGGAAGAGGAAGAGGCATTATTTTAATACATAAAGGATGGCTAGCTTAATTTAGCCAGTTTCCAGGCTTGCATATGGGTATGATGAATTTTTCTGTCTGTGAAATTAAATATTTATTCTTTGTTTAGGAAATCTGAAAGGAGAGCTCTACCTATGAAGAGATGACGTGTAATGGCCCAGATAACTCGGAAGCTTGTGCCACTCCAGACACTGACCGTGACCAGGAATGGGCACAGGAACACTACCGACTAGGAACTTTTGTTGCGTTTCCACTTGGCTGTCCGGTTTCGGCATCAGTACTAGCACGAGCTGGCTTTGTTTATACTGGAGAAGGTGACAAAGTGAAGTGCTTCAGTTGCCATACAACTACTGAAGGATGGGCGCCTGGGGATTCTGCAGTTGAGAGACACAAAAAGCTTTCCCCGAATTGCAAATTTATTACTGAATCTACTTTTCTGGAAAATAACATACATCCTCTCGCCCAGAACTACCAGCATGGAACTGAAAACGGTTCCAGCAATTCAGCCCTCCCGTGTACTCTGGATCACCTATCTGATGCAGAGGCAGATTACCTTGTGAGAACTAGGCAGGTTGTGGATATGTCAGATAATTTTTATCCTAAAAACCCTGCTATGTGCAGTGAAGAGTCAAGATTAAAGTCTTTCCACAACTGGCCCCTCAATGGCCAGTTGACACCAAAGGAATTAGCTAATGCTGGATTCTATTATACAGGTATCGGTGATCAAGTGGCATGTTTTTGTTGTGGTGGAAAATTGAAAAAGTGGGAACCCAGTGACAGAGCTTGGTCAGAACACAAGAGGCATTTTCCCAAATGCCTTTTTGTCCTGGGACGGGATGTTGGAAATGTCCCAAGTGAATCTGTTCGTGATGAGCTTGGGAGAAGTGGTCTGAACAATGCACAGCATCCATGGAATCCATCTATGGCAAAATATGGAAGACGTTTACAAACATTTTTAACTTGGATATATCCTGTTGACAAAGAGCAGCTTGCCAAAGCTGGGTTCTATAGCATAGGTAAGCCAGACCTTAAAATGGCTAATATCTTTTATGAAGAAGTTTTATATGAGTGTCTTGTTACGAAAAAAATAAGCTTTTTTTTATTCTAATGTGGAATGATTTGCCAGAACTTCTTTACTCTGTAAACTACTTTTCATAGTTCTTGTGTAAAATGATATACATTATATCAAGTATTTTTAATAGCAAAGTATAAACTTGGTCATAAATTCATTTTTAGCATTAAAACATAAAAGTGTGTTTTCCTTGCCTGCTAAAACCCTCATAATAGATCTTTCACAATGACAATTAGTGAAGTTAATATTTTTTTAAAAATAAGTGCTGTCCTCCAGATATCTACCTTAGGTCTAAGGAGTTGGCTTGTGGCCTGTACAGAAGCCTATGAACAAGACAATCCAGGTTGTGTGCTGTTTTATTTAGTTAACGTGTTTGCATTATCACAGCATTCAGACACCCAAAACTAGCAAATACCATTACTATCTACTGTAAAAGCTTTACGAAGACAATGACTCCAGTGGAAGAGCTTTTACTTTTACACATGTAGTGTATGGCTTGGATAAGTCTCCAACAACTTTGTGCATTGGTTTCCCAATTAGATTGATTTGCACAGTGCTGTTAAAAGCTCTTTGAAATTCTTCACTGAGAGATGCTGTATGAGTGCAAAGTGTTGCTATTATTAGGTCACAAAGAAAAGGGAATTATCCAGGATAATTTCTTGCTCTCATCTTAATTGGCTTCTCTCTTAGTAGCTCTCGGAAGAACTGTTTAACCTGATTCCATTTGTTTTACTTGTGGCCATACATAAAACCTTTGGTATATTCTTGTATGGGTGATATACAGGCAATATTTGTACCCAGTGGAACTGTTTTTATTGATTTCTTCTTGGATTCCTGCAAGTACCTAGCTTCTCACAGCCAAGTGAGATCTGTATTGTGGAGGTACACTAAATAGGCACCAGCTTATCAGACCCGATGGCTGTTCAAGTGACTTCTGTGAAAACTCTGTTTCCTGTGGCCTGAGAATGATTTAGCTCTGTAGGAAAAATCTATCCATACCTCCTCTCATTTCAATAAACACTATCTAAGCAGTTTCTGGTGCAGTCTTTGATTACAGTAGGCATAGTGCTAGAACAGAGAGAATGCAATTTCTCCTAACATCTCCTCAGTTATGCTACTGCTGTATAGAGCCCATTAATCTTAATGGTGAAATGGAGGACCAAAAAGGCACGTAAACATCCTTAATTCTTTGTGGGAGACTATTTCATGGCTTGTTTACCAGTGGATTGAGCTATTTGATAATAGATTATTTTTAGCTTTTGCTTTTTATCTGTATACTTACTTGATAAAATGAAATTCAGGAATATTTCATGTGACTCTTATTTTGTATTTTTTAAGCTCAAGTCTCTCCCGAACATTTGTTTCAAATCTTATGTATTATGTCCTCCTTGAAAATGGAGTTCTCTTCAGTTACATTTGCTAATCAATAAAATAAATATTTTTTTTCTTAATAATGTAAAATTTTAGTTTAAAACTTACTGTTATGCCTACTAGCAGTATGTAACTTTATTCTCGTGTGTTTCCTCAGGTAATGGTGATCATGTTGTGTGTTTCCACTGTGGTGGAGGATTGCAAGAATGGAAGGAAAATGAAGACCCATGGGATCAACATGCCAAATGGTTTCCTGGGTAAGGTATTTTTTACTGTTTTCTTGTTGCATGTCCGAGTCTTATTTACAGTATATTATGTTTTAATGACAGACCATACTAATAAAGGTTTCAGAAGGTTGACTATGGCTTAACATTGTTTAGATTTAGGAAAATAACTTAATTTTTCTTTAGTTGCCTTCCTCTACTTCCTTCTCCTTCATTTTTGTCATGTAGGCACCAAAGGAATATCAGTTGTCTTCCATGGTTTATATTTTTCCTTTTCAATAAGTAGAAAATACTTTAAGGAATTTTTTGCATGGGGTCCTTATTTTTGTTGTTCCATCTGCTCTACCTTCTGTAGTCCTGCTATTATATGTATAATCATCAACATATGCTTTAATGTTGTATTGGTGGCCTCAAAAGAGGACATCAACCTAATGTCGTCTTTGAGAGGTAGGAGGGAGTTCTTCTAAAGTGGGCAGGAAAGAGAACTAAATCTCAACAGCTTGAGGGCACAACTAACTCATTAGAGGTGATCAGTCTGAAAGGTTGCCCTGAAATTGTACCTTCTGAATAACTTTACTTTTAAGTCAGTGTTGTTTGTATGTCAGCTTGTTTGTAGGAATTATTAAAGGGAAGAGAAGATTTCTGTGTCTGGACTTAACTGATTGGTTTTTTCCTCATTATCCAAGTGCTATGTTCTAATTGTTACTTTAATAGCTTCATACCTGCCAAAGTTTGTAACTTATGTCAGAATACAAAATGACTAAACTTCTGTCACGGTGTAAACAAACCTGAAGAAGGCAGTAGTGCTATTGAATTCAAAACATACTTGTGCATAATTTTAAAGGATTGAGGATTCCAGACCCAGAAATAGTTTTTAGAAAGACTGCCAATTTTGTCTAAAATCTGTCTTGAGGAAAGGAAGAATAGTATATGACTCACTGTACTTGGACAGCTTTTATCCACCTGTAAGAAACGAAGGCTTAGTAACTTGTATAACATTGATGTCTTTTTGCGTTAGCTGCCAAATTTGTCTTCTGTGGTGAAAGGCTCTCTGGAAGCTGGAAGTTAATATTTATGTGATAGCTGATCCTTTTTTCAATAGTGGTACAGGCAGCTTTTAATTATTAGTCTCTGCCACTTGAAAGAGATGCCATTCCAAGTTTTTGGCTTGGTGCAGTGAATGGTTAAGACGCATTTTGCTACATTTCACTCCTCCTTATATGGGTTTGATTTGGTTTTAGGTTGTTTACATTATGTCAGATTTGATTACTTCCTCTCAGATCATTAACTGTCTTATATGGAGTTTTTGTTTGCACATCAACTTCAGTGGCAGTGTATCAGTCTCACAGCATGCTGTCTATGTCCACGAACAGGACACCATGAAGGTGAAGTAACTGCTGAAGCTAGACAACTATTGTTGAGGAGTTACGGCATTCCCTAAATCTTCTGGTAGGGAAAAACTCTGCCCAGTGGTAGGACTGGTTGGAAAATAGTGAAAGAAAGCATGTAAGGCACCTGTCTGACCAGTGACTGCTTTTCTTTGATTACAAAAGACTAGAAGAACCAACATTTTAACATAATGCTTGTTTTTCATTGGAGTCTTTTACTTTTATAGACCTGTGGCATCAGCTGTCATGGCCAACAACTCTTTAGTTTTCCATTTCACCAAAAATGTGAAAAAGATAAGTACTGCTGAAGTGATTAAGATGTTTTTAGAAATGTTTAAATGACCTTACTGATGTTAACTGAATATTTAGAGATTTCAAAAGCAAGCATTCTGTATGATGTAGGAAATGTATCGAAGCTTTCCAAAGTTATGTAGTCAATTTTTGTTTGCTGCTTATGCAGTTTTATTATAACTAAATATTTTCATTTATAGGTGCAGATTTGTGAGAAAGGAAAAGGGGCTAGAATTTATAAATAATGTTCACTTAAGAGATGGATATAGGGATTCAACAGTAAGTGTCTTGCTTATTAATCAAATACTATTTTGTTAAAATGAAAAACAATCTTAACATAGTTTTCACATGAAGTTACTCTTCTAATTAGCTGCATATCATTTAGTCCTCCTGCTGCTTCTTGCACTGGCAGAAAGTGAAAGACATCAAAGTATGTTTTGGTTCTGTCATTCAGGGTTTATAGATCTCACAGTTCTCCTTAGTTGGGTTATGGATCACAGGCAGGGTACCTTGTATATGTTGTATATTTGGTAATGAACAAGTGCTTTTTTTTTTTTTTAGTAGTCTGGGAACCTAAGGCTTACAATGAATAATTTCCTTATTCAAGTGTAGTAGATAATTTTTCTTTTCTTGTTGGTAAAGCACTGTTAAACTTGTATGTGGTCACTAAAAAGTAAAACCGATGTTATTTTACAATTCTTCCATAGACTAAGAATCATGTACATATGGTTATAGCAAGATGGGTTAAAATGAAAATTTAAAACAATATGAAAGACATAACAAAACACTGATCCCTTTGCAATTGTTCAGAGCAGATTTAATAGTTTTAGTCAATAAAATAACTGATATCAAATAGCTATTTTCTGTCCTGTAACTGTATAGGTTTCCTTCTACCTTCTCCAGAATTGTAATTTTGTCTGTTTGTATTTCACTTTTAGACAGAAGCTGCTGAAGGGACAATACTTCAACAAAACACCCCCCCCCCCCCCATTTTGGAATATCCATATTTTCATTTCTAGTAAAGGAAATGGTTAATTTTTAAAATAACCCTATTATATTTTTAAATAAAGCATGACAGGCAAATTGTTGGATGATACTCTTTCGTTGCTTCATTGCTTCTAAACAACTGCAGAATGAATTTTATTTCTCTTAGGGGAAATCTAATCATGGTTGGGTAAATATTGTAAAGATTGTAAACCATGAAAGAAGTACGTATAGGATGCAGTCTTATTTTTATAGCTAGTAAGTATGCATCAAGTATGGAATTATAGTGCTGTGGGATGAATGTTAAAGAATACTGAAATGAAACAATAATTGTTGCTTTTCATGAGGCAGGAAGAGTTGGTCTGTTAAATGGCAAGGACTAGGAAGCTGAGAAAGCTTAAATAGCTTGTTATGTGTTCCAGTATTACGCATTCCTGCAATGTTTTTCACAAATACCAAGCAATAAAAAGACAAGAGAGTTAAAGGGGTAGTAGGAAGACAGTCGAGTAGCTTCCTCCCAGGGAATGATAGCTGTTGCTAATAAGAGTGGTTACACAAAACCTATTTTAGAACTCTCTCACACACTGCTCATTTATGAGAGTGAAAATTAGGTTAAAAATTTTGCTCTTTTAACAATTTTAAGTAAAGAAGAAATTAGTCATTTACATGTAATAGAAGAACTGGAAATAAGTTTTTACAACTAGCAAAATTCTTAAATCGGAAATACAGTTCCTTTGGCTAGATATTGGCAAGATGTCTTAGAGATACTATCCGATAATAAGATTCATCCTTGTTAAATTGGTTTTTTTGTTTTTTAATTTCTTGTTTTAGATGATCTCTTACAGAATCCTTTGGTACAAAGTGCCATAGACATGGGTTTCAGTTTGTCTGAGATTAGGAACACCATGGAAAAGAAATTGCAGATGTCTGGAGAAAGTCACACATCTGTTGGGGATCTGGTAGCAGACTTAAGTGCTCAAAAAGAAAATACAAGGGAAGAAGAACCAAATGAAATCCCAGTTGAGCAAGATGATCTTATTCAATTGCAAAACCTCTGTGTGTATTTCGTATCGGCTCTTTAGTCTATGAAATAGATCTTATTGTTATCTGTTTATTCTGCCTTCTGAACCAAGTCTTACTTAAGGTGAAGTTACAGTATCGTAACTTAAAATTCAAGAGATTTATTTTTGGACATTAAAAAAAAGCTGAACAAAGAGGGTGTTAAAATATTTAGGCGTAGCGGCATTTATAAATATCATCTATAAAATAAGTAGTATTAATACCTCAAAAGTGTATAATATTGAAATAATAGTCTAGCATGCTTCTGGGAAAGGTTATACACGCTAACTAAAAAGCCAAAATTATTGTGACGATGACATTTGAAAGATGAAAAAAAAGCAAGAATAACTATAGATGTGGGGACTCTGGTGGCAAAATGAAATAGACGCAGCAACATACTGCCAAATATTCAGTATACTCAAAATGAAAAAATCTTAGTAGGGGATTATTTATTTTTCAGTATAAAATTTTGCATGGGATAGAAGCATTTTCTTTCTTGGCCAATAAGAACAAATGTACTTCTAGATGGTGTTTCTTTTCAATTATTTGTGTTCCAGCTATGCTGGGACATGCAAGTTATGCTCAGAAAGCCATTGTGGTACACTCTGCAAATAGACCAAACCCAAGGTCTCTAACTCAGGAGACTTGTAATTTAAGACAAGCATATGAGTGAATTCATAGGGAGGGAAAAAACCATCTGGTTGGCATGATAGGCAGAGATCTTACCAGCCCACTCTTTTTAATAAGATTTTTAATGGACATTATGGGGGAAAGAGAACTTGCAATGAAGATGGACATTATTTTTGTGGTTGGCTGTGCAGAGCTTTCCCCAAGCGGCAGGGGAAGGCTTTTGAAGTTTGCATTTTCAAATGGGGCATACTGGAATAATAAAGAGCTAACGTACAATGCAAAATTGATTCTTTCTGTACTACAAATTTTAAAGCTTTTGAAGTATGGGCATTTTGAAAACGGGGGCAGGGAAGGAAATCACATCCTCGTTCTTTTCATTGGGGAAACTCTCTGGAAAAAAAATAAAATTCAAATTACTTAACCAGTATCAACGAGCCTTTCTTTCACCTTCTGTACAAGTTTTGGGAAAGTTGTCAATGGGAAGTCTGTGAAAAGAATAGTTCCTGATTGAAATATGCATATCCTAAATTCTATAGATATTTCAAGCTCTTGCAAATATAGATAGCTAAATTCCGTGCTTGCATTGGCCTGGGAGATGTAATGAGATGGGCGGGGGGGAGAGGATTCCATGCTGCAGCTTGGTTTCCTGTCTCTTGTGGTTTTTTTTTTCCTTTTTAAAGGTGTGACCTTTAAATCATACGAAGAAAATCTTGTCCTTGTGTGTAAAGGAAAAAAAAAAAAAGAGATTCAATGTTACTAAGTATGTTAACTCCTTTTTATGTGTTTAATTTCCTTAGATCTCAGTACTGAAGAGAAGCTAAGACGCTTGCAGGAAGAAAAGCTTTGTAAAATCTGTATGGCTAAAGACATATCAGTCGTCCTCATTCCCTGTGGTCACCTAGTTGCCTGTAAGGAATGTGCTGAACCGCTTAATGAATGCCCTCTGTGTCGTACCAATATTATGAAAAGACAGGAAATTTTTATGTATTAGTGAAATACACAGCACTGTGGATGCAAACGTTTCCTGCTTTATTGCTTTAAATATGTGTAATGTAATGTAAAAAACTGAGTTAATTCCAGGATGTAATCATATGGCAGTGTTTAGATTTTTCTGCTGTCAAACTCTACATACATTTTAACATGCTAAAAATTATTTTCCTAAAGTAAATTTTTTGTATGTAAAAACCCGTATTGAAAGGCAAATATATATATTCTGTAACTCAATTCATACACCTGATTTGGGAAAGCCTAAGTAATGCAAAGCTTTATTTATGTGATCATTCCTTTGCTTCACTTTGGTAGGACTCTGTACGACTGAAGTTTATGCAAATACAGTTGTATAAAGAGTCCGGCCCTATATAAAATTTGTAAATAAGTAAGAGAATTTAAAAAATTACTATATACTTGTATATTATAGCTTAGATTTTAGCTTCTCAAAAACACAAAAAAATTATTTAAGATTGAAAATGTTATCTTATTTCTGTAACTTTGGTTGTGACCTAATTCAGAGAAAATGCGTAAACCTGCTGCTGAAAGATTTCACCTTATGTTTGCTGCTGCTACTTTGTAAGTTTGTCTGTTTTGATATACAATTCCTGTCTCCCCGTTTATTTTTTTTCTGGTTTAGATGTATAAATTGGCTTCAGTAAACTGGTTTTAGCCATCCGTTTTTCACAAAAATCCCTCTGTATATAAAATGTATATTAATTTCATTCCTTAAAAGAGAACTCAACAGAAATGAAGGAGATTTTACGTACCTTGTGCCTGTCATGAAAGGAGCGGTCTCATTTTAAAATTGCCCCCCTACACAAAAAGTTGTTCATTGTTTGATTGGGTTTTCTTTAACATTTAGCATGATCCTAACTCATTTATCTGCTAATACTTTGCAGTGCTTCTGTTTGTTTGTCTATTTTTTCATAAGAGAAGATTAAACTCCATCGCCATGAAAATGCTTTCTTTTTTTTATAATTCACCACTAATGTTAGAAATCTTTCAATTTTATTCGTGTCAGTTTGCAGCATTTAAATTAAAAAGTTAAGAACTATTCTAGTGAGAGGCACCTTAAAATACTTAATAAACTATTTCTTACTGGACTGATCCTCAGTTCTCCAGTTAAAAAAGTATCATAGCTTTGTATTTAAGTACAGCTGGTTTACAATCACCCTACTTAATTATGTGACTTCCTTATTTTGTGGAGCTACTAATATGTTCCGTGTATATATTTTTATCTTTGAGTCCTACACACTAATATATTTAGAATATACAGAATATAGTTTTTCACGTGATAAAAGTTTTAAATCCAATACACAAAATTTTAATGTCTATTCTTCTATTTTTTTAAATATGTGCTGTGATTATATGCTGGTGTAATGTTATAAATATTTAAAATGAAGTGCAACCCAATTGTTCCTTGATCAGCATATTTGATTCTCATATGCGGGAAAAAAAAAATTCGTAACAGAAGGTTGCTTTCTGTTGCCTTTTTTTTTGTTTTGTAACTCAACTGTTACTAATTTAACCTGAGTGTTACTAAGGATTACAAATATATTTTAATTGGAGAGGAAATAAAATCTATTGTTTGTACAAATTAAAGTTTGTTAATTATAAAATTAAAATACGATAATTTTGCTTTTTTTTATAATAAATTAGAATTTGGTTATTAGGAATATATGATGACTAGAAATTCATAAAGAATTCAGCACGAAAAGGTTTTATTTTGTCTTTTTGTGCCTTTGTGAAGAGTTTAGTGTTTCAGATAATTCATGCATTCGGGGATTTTTCAGGACAGAGACGGACTGGCAATTCTGACAGGCTTGTTTCTAGCTCCCATTTTCAGTTACAGGGAGGGTTTTCTGTACTTTTCAAGGGAAATTAAAGGGGGGGTTGCTTATGAGCTGGTGTATCTTGCCTGAAATAGCTTGTTAGTGTTGTGAACCATGTTAGGCTGACTTGCTTAAGCAGATGGTTTGTTACCTAACCGTGACCTAAGTCATGTGAGAGAGACTATCTGGATGAGCTGGATCCAACTTACGGGCTGCAGAACTTGGCATGTGGCTCGACAAAGCCCTGTCTGGGAAAGAGATTGACCAAATTTTACTTAGAACTGTTTGTGGCAAAACTAAATCCTAGCAAAGAGGTGATTTGGGATGTAAGTGTTGCATGTAAACTGTCTGAGAAAAGCCTCGAAGTGGGTCACAAATAGTACCTTCCAAACTGAAATGGAGAGCAAACGCATTGTCCAAATAATACGCAAGCAAATAGCATAAATGCTTCATGTTAAAGCTTGTTAACTTTTAAAAGGTATTCTGTATCCCTTATTGTAACTTTTTGATAAATTTTATAAAAGATATAGCTATAATAGCAATTCAGATTTTAATCAGGAACATTAAAGGGTTAAAAGCCTGTTAGGGAGATGACAAAATAACTGCTCTGTAGGTCTAGGTTTTTTAAAAAACTATAATCAGTTCTATTCAGACTAAATGTGAAAAAATAATTAGCATAGTCATCAAATTTTGACAGCTTGAATTAGGAAGATGTTTTTTCAAATCACTTTGATTTTTAGTATCTTAAAGAAACAGAGAAGAAATTCCACGGACACTGGTACTGGGCTGAGTGTTTAAAGAGATAGAAATGCAGGATGCAAATAAAGGGAGTGGAAGCACAGGTGCTTTGAAAAGGAGGTTAGTAGCAGGACAAAGATGCCTTGGGAGTTGGTTGTTATAAAAGAGTTACCTGGAATGAAGAGCTATGGAATACATTCAAGCATCAGTATTCAGTAACTTTCTTCTAGTAGCTTCTATGTAACATCTTTCTTACTTCCATTTTACTTGCAACAGCAGAACTATTTGCTGGTCTAGATATGTGGGAGATTTACAAGGGGTTTTAATAATGCGTTCTGGAACTGTTTTGCTTAGAAAATACGGAAATTGCATGCCTAATTTAGGAACAGAAGGCTAAAATAAGGAAAACCCATAGATGCCACTTTTTTGTTATGCATTTAGCTTTTTTTCACAGCCTTGAAACATGAGGCTTGAAACAGTAATGACTTACTCTGCTGGTTGCTGCAGCTTGAATCTCTACAGATACTTAGCTGTCTGTACTTTTTTAAATTTGTTTTGGGGAAAGATCCAAAGCTCATAGCACAATAAAAAGATTTTCAATTATTATTGTTTGGTTTTTTGTTGTTTTTTTTTTTTAAGTTAGAGTATTTAAACACTTCTTTTAATATTGCCTGGTTAGTTTTGACCGCAATGCTCCAATGTTTATTTTTGTTAGCTGTATGTGCAGCCTGAAGCTACAGGACAAATAGTTGGTCAAAGTTTTCAAAGCATTGTTAACCTAAAACATGGGGTTTTAAAGTTAGCTTTTATGCTTGTTTTTATTGAAATTAACACAAATTTAAATACAATGGGCGGTTAGAATTGAATTATAACTGGGTGGGAGGTCAATGCAGACACCTGATTACCGTGCTCATGTGAAACTTCAAGCTGAAGTGTTATACACTAGGATTAAATGTTACAAGGAGTGGTGACATTTGCTGCCACAGTATTTAGTAACTACTCAGAAGAGAATCTGTTCCGCCTGTGAAGACGTGCAAGTTCTAGCATACGATGTGTAAGGCCTACCTGAAGGGAAGGTCGGCCCTTCATAGGGCGAAGAAGGAGTTGGAGATTTTCCTGGCTTTTGCAGTGTTTTTCTGTGGCGGTAAGTATGTGAACAGAGAGTTGTTATGCGGTGTTCTTTTTTACCCTCTGCTTAGCACACGGTTGACGCCTATCAGCGAGAAGGCTAGATGCCAAAGGGCGGGCTGGAGAAGCACTCCCACTGCTGCCCCAGAGGCTTTTCACTGCCTGCCTCGTGCAGAACGGCTGGATTGGCTTTAGCTCTTGAACCCGCTTGGTGGAGGGTGATGGTCGTCTTCTCCATCTAGTCAAATGGGAAGAGCTAGTCTAGTGAGATCACCTTCATTCCTCATGGAACTGAAGTATGAGTGAATGCTCTCCCTATTACTATTGTTGCGTGTGTTTTACATGCATCAGTTTTACTGAGTAGCTCGGAAATTTGATCAAGAAAATCTTTCCTCCCCCATGACCCTGCCATGCCTTCGCACTGATGCAGGTGGTTGAAAGTATCTTGCCATCTTTGCGAATGCCACTGTGTCACGTTGCTTCGAGAGACGTACTGATGCTGCCGTACAGCAATTAGTGTGCTGTAATTATAATGGGGCTTTCTGTGAGGAGGCAAATGACCTGTGATAATAAAGAACCTTTGCTGACATTCAGATTTTATCTTTAGTTTTTTCTTAACCAGGAATTCCTATTGAGCAATACTGACATCAATGTTACAGTAAAACTATGACCATTAATTCAGAGAATATGCCTCTCTGACCAACTTATCAAAAGAACTTGCTTTTTCCTAGGACAGGAAAGAAGATGGTATATATTCAGTTATAAATGGCTTGGATAAACAAAACCCCAAGGAAAATTGGGGGAAAAAATGGTATTAATTATATTGTGAGTACGTAATATTTCAAGGTAGGTAAAAACTACTTGGTTGCCTTTGGATAATTATTAATTCACAGTTTTATAGCCTGAACAGCTATTGATGATGGCTGAGATAAAATGCTTGATAAGTTAGAATTGCTGGAAATGTATTAGAGAGATACTTGAATTAGGGTTTTGCTCTTAGATTGAAAAATGGCATTTACCATCAAAAAATGAAAAACACTTTTGCAGAGTCCCACTGTGAAAACATCGAGGAGAATCATTACAATAACTGCTGAAAAGCCAAGTTTAGTAGAAACGCATATGGTCACCTGCAAATTTTGGAGAATGAATTAATCTAAGTTCCAGAAATTACCAAGAGAGAGAGCATTTAAATTTATTCATGTTATGTCTTTTTGATCTTACGAAGTTAGATCTTGCTGTAAAGCTCTTGACACAATTTCTCTTATGTTACTTAGTTTTTCATGGTATGATGAGAGTCACCACTTAAGCCAAATAGTTAATCTTCTAAGTACAAGCTTTTCAAAAGTGGGTGTCAAGCTACAGTAGTCTCTTCCTTTTAACTCTTCTGTAACAGAGAGAGCCTTCTGAGTCTGGGATTGACTTTACCTCCCTGTCCTGCATAACCACCCCGTGTGGTGCTGCTGGAGTCAGTACGGGAGCTCTGTTGGTAGGGTACAAGCCACCAGAAAAATAACTGTTGCTTCCAATGTCTCTTCTGGTGTTTTGCAAAACAGAATGTACCAAAAGTAACGTTACTTTGACTCCCATCTCTGCATCACAATTTAGCCCTTTTGTAACTTTGTTAACAGTTGCTTTGTAACGGCTTACTCGGCAATTGCAAGTTCCTGTAAGGAAGACCCGTGTCCCAAGTTGGAAGCTTCACCTCTGCTGGGCTCACAGCTGGAACCGGCGGTACAGAGAATGGAGGTAAGGGTAGGCCCTGGGGGAGCCGGGTTGGGAATTGCTGTCCTTGGGGCTTATGGCGGGTGTCCCAGGAGTGCCCTTTGCCGTGGAGGGGAAACACTTCGGTCACAGCTGCTGGCACTGAGGCTTTGCAGGATTTCTACAATCACGCTAAAGGAAGTTACAGTCTAAAAGAAGTATTTTTATCTTAACGGTTTTGAACATCTGTGCAAGCCACCAAGGTGTCATAAACTGTTGTATTCCTTGCTACTTGTTATGCATTGTGCCACTTACAAAAAAGTCTAAATCACAGCTAATGACAAGATCACACTTTGCTTTGCTTCGCTTCCACCTCCCGCTGTGTCAGAGTTGAGGCAGCAAGAATGGCCTTGAGCCCCAGACACGATTGGAAGGAGAGGGGACTTCCCTCAGAAGCGCTGTCTGAAAGAAACCTTGAAGTTGGTTGATGATGAAATCTAAACCAAAGGAAACCGTGTTAGGGATATATGTAGGATCTTGGGAATGTGGTAGGTCAGCCCCAAAAAACCATGCAAGCTTATTATCTGAAAGAGTAATCTGTTCCTTGACCTTATCTGTCATGTAAGTAACAACACCCCATTGCATATACTCCCACTTTAACCCTCTAAGTTCTAGCCTCGGTAGTTTGTGGGGAAAAGACCAAGATAAACCAATCCACTGTCATTGTCCAAACCTGGTGTTTGCCTGCAAATACAGAAGAGAGCTGTCCCATTCATTTGATGGAGGATTTTCTTCAAAGCTTAAACATAAATGTATTTGACTTTATCGTTTAGAATTGTTTTGCTCTATGATCTTGGGCAAAGGTTGAGCTGAATAATGACGTTTCTGTCCCAGTTCCGCTCTAACCTCATCTAACCACAAGGCAGCCTCCTTCCTCCCGTTTTCAAGCACCCCCTCCGGCTCCATGTCAGTCTCAGGGGGGCTGGAGGCCCCAGGAAATCTGACCAGCTGAGAACTGCTTTCTGTTCCCGACAGGTGAGTTGCCCTGCACACCAAGAGTATGATGTGGCTTCACTGTTTGCTTTTTAGCTGTTGTTTAGCTAAAGCTGCTTCCCCTGCTCAGTCCTAGTTGCTGCTGTTGGGCCCGCTTGACCTTATTTCAGTTCTTGCCTGCTTCTCACCCCAGCCCTTTTCCTGTCGTACAGTCTGTTCTTCCCTGCCTTTAGCCGTGCCCTTCCACTTACCCAGCTCACCCAATTTGAAACGTGTTTCTCTGGTTCCTGTGCTTCTTCCACAGACTTTGTCACTGATGCTGTCATGGTGCCCGACTCATAAAATGGTCCTTGATTCGTGATCCCTCTGCCTGGACTTAGCTACAGGACACAAGAACGTCTTGGTTGTGTCTCCCAAAGCCTCCCTACATCTAGAAACTGGAGCAGATCATGTCCCGGATCCAAGAGAGGTGGCCTGAATGGTAACGCTTACTCTTTCCTGTACATAGGGTGAGGTGATGCCTCAAGTGAAAGCAACTCCTCTTGACTGAAGCTAGGAGAAGGGCTTTTCATTATTTCCTACCAATAACTGGTCTGGCCTTTACACGGTTTGGTGATGAAAACTTTAGAACATGGCTAATGGATTTTTACCTCAAAGAACGAGACACGGCAAGAGCACCTCACCTCAAATAGGGGAATGAGCGCGGGGCTTCGGGTAACAAGTGGCACAGACGACTGAATAAAGCTGCTGATAACGCAATTAGCAGGAAGGTATTTGTGACTGACGGGTTCTATTCATTTCTAGAGCTGGTAATGAAGGGGAGTTAAAACTTCCTTCCTTTTTAGTGATACAGGACAAACTGTGATTCTGTGCTCCTTTACAGGTCTGAGAGCACGGTAGGCAGGAACTTAGTAAATCAAAGAAAATTCAGACTTGAGCTAGGTGTTCTGGAAAGACCTGGCGAGAAATAGGGGCGTACAAGGGAGACTTATGTAAATCGCAAAAGGAAGAAATTATTCACAGAACAGGGAAAGGCCTAAGGAGCTACTGATTTGCAATCTCTCTCCTGCAAATTATGGGAAAGTAACCCATTTTTTGGTCTTTATTTTTGTTTCTTATGTAATAGCTCATCTCCAAAAGGATTTAGAGCAGATTTCCCTGGAGTGACTAAGCCAGTTTCAAATATCTGGGGAAAAAAAAAATCTGACTGGGAAGACTGCTTTTCCCCTCTGTACCCCACTAAACAGATAAAAATATGGCTGTGGCTTATTTAATATAGGCCATCAAAGCTACCACCTCACCTTGGAACAAATCCAGTATACAAATTCTGGTTTGTTTTCCAATTCTCGTAAGCAAATCCTTTTAAAAAATAAAAGGAATGGTAAAGGATTGTGGCTTGCCTTTTTTTTTTTTTTTTTTTTTAATAGAAAAGAGGAAACGGAATTGCAGAGGGGGGTTCCTATTCCGCTGCCCTCAAAGAAAAGGAAACAGCGTGAGCATAGGTCTCCTGCCTGGAAGAATGAATCAGCCATCTGGCAGCTTGAGTTTATTCTGATCTTCTCTAGTGGTGAACCTCTGGCCATTAATTCAGACATGGAATTGGTATCTACCCTCTCCTTGCACATTTCTTAACTGGGTGACTGATCAAGAGCTCTCTTTGGATCAAGCATAGTAAAAGTCCCTGTTCCAAAGTCTTTGTTAAATCATCTCTGAATTGGGCTCAATATCAGAAATGGTGGACTTTGAAGCTCTTAAGGAGTAGCTTTTATGAGAGAGGACA